GGTCCATCATGAAGAAACTGGGGAAGTTAACATCGAAAGAGTAATATTTCAGGAGGATTCTTTGTCACCACTGCTGTTTAACATATCACTAATTCCCATTTCAATTATTTTAAATAAAACTGGAGTGGGCTACCATATTTCACAACAAGCTGGAAAAATCAATCATCTCTTATACATGGATGACCTAAAACTATATGCAAAAAGTACCACAGAGATAGAAATACTGCTAAACACAATGCAAATATTTAGTGAAGATATCTAAATTAAATTTAGAATTGACAAATGTGCAGCTCTGTCTATACACCGTGGCAAGATCCAAAAACTATATGGAATGGAGTTAAAAAATTTCAGTATTATAAAATCACTCTCAAGTGATGAAAATTATAAATACCTTGGAATACTAGAAGCTGACAGCATTGTGCACACAAAAGTTAAAGAACTGACAGAAAAAGAATATATCAAAAGACTGCAGAAAATCTTAAAATCAAAACTAAATGGGGGAAATACAATCAAAGTGATAAACACATGTAATTAGATACCCAGCTGGTATAATAGATTGGACTCAAAATGAACTAGAAGAATTGGATTGAAAAACACAGAAACCTATGAACATGCATCACACACTACATCCAAAAAGCAATGTGGACAGATTATATTTACCATGAAAAATTGGAGACCATGGATTACTGTAAATACAGGAGATACTAGAGAAAGAAAAAGAAGCCTAAATTATTATATTAATGCAAGCAGAAAAAAATTTACTGAAAGCAGTGAAAATGGAGAATATTTTGAAAACAACAGAAACAAAGGCTCAATATAAGAAACAATTTGAAAATAAATCAAACAGATGGAAAATATAAACGACTACATGGACAACACCTGAGAAATATTGATGGAAAGCATGATAATAATTTGTCATGGGCATGGCTAAAACTGGGCACCCTTAAGAAAGAAACTGAAGGCTTGATTTTTGCTGTACAAGAACAAGCACTCCAAACCAACGTGATGAAAGCTAAGATCCAAGGAATTAATGCTAACAGCAAATGTCAATTCTGCCAAGAAAAAGATGAAACTGTGTCACACCTCATCTGTGAATGTCTAAAGATTGCACAAACAGATTACAAAGTAAGACATGATTGAATGGCAAAGTTAGAGCACTGGTCATTATGCAAAAAATATAACTTGCCGGCCTCCAAAAACCCATGGGAACATCAGGTAGAGAAAGTGTCAGAAAATGAGGAAGTTAAGATCTTGTGGGATTTCCAGAGAGACACCTTGAACATAACACACTAGACATAGTAGTAATAGAACAAAGAAATTTCCAGATAATTGACATTGCAATGCCAGGGGATGCCAGAGTTGAAAATAAAGAATTGGAAAAATGAACAAAGTACAGAGACCTGGCAATCAAAACATTTTGCCTCTGGAAGAAGCACACTTCAGTGGTCCCCATAGTCACTGGGGCTTTGGGAACAATATCAAGAATTTTCACAGAGTACCATAAGCAGTTGCAGATCTCAGAAGTCACACCATCAGAGCTACAAAAAAAAAGCAATACTGTAGTAGGAACAGCATACATACTGCATTGTTATTTAACAGATACTTAGGTTTTTGGTTAAAACTTGTATCTGTTATATAATACCAGTCAATGTTGTTATAATTTTGACTGTGCCTGGAGCTTTTGAATAATAATAACAATAATAAATGGCATCATGTTGATTCTGATTAATGGTAACCCTTTTCAGGGTTTTCCAGGTAGAGAACACTCAGAAGTGGTTTATCATTCCCTTCTTCTGGAGGCACCCTGGGACTGGGCAGCTTACCCAAGAGCCACACAGGCTTGGCACCCTGGGACTGGGCAGCTTACCCAAGGGCTACACAGGCTTGCTCTACTTGCAGGAGGCGCAGTGGAGAATCAAGCTCCCAACCTCTGACTCCGCACCAAAACACCTAAACCACTGAGCTACCCAGTGGGGAATCAAGCTCCCAACCTCTGACTCCGCAGCAAAACACCTAAACCACTGAGCTACCCTGCCAGTATGAAATACAAAAGAAATTGTGATACCTTTAAGATTAACAGATTTATTTTGCTGTGATCTTTAATGGATTACAATCCACTTCCTGCAACATGTGGAAATAAATTGTAATCAATGCTCTGTTACTCGTCAAGAGTTACCTCAGGTTACCTTTGCTAGCTACTCAGAAGAAACAACCAAGGCCTCATGCCTTAATAGCTACATCGTATTGAAGAAATACTACATGAAGCATTCATGAAATATTAATGTTATCTCTAGTTTCTGTTATAAGCATTGGGCAAAACCTAACAGCCAACTCCAACAAGCGTGCATGACAGTAATCTCCTAAGCAGTGAACATTGATTACCTTTCTTGTTTAGACATAATTTGCCTAATCACAGACCAATAAGGAGGTATTTAAGGTATATCAGTATATTACTGTTCTCAAATTCCACATACAGTACAGTCCTTATCCTTGTGCCATCCAGATGTTTTAGGCTATAACTTCCAACCTTCCCCTTCCTTATCCAGAGGTTGCTGGGTGATGAACTCGAAAATATTTGGAAGCAGTGGGTTAGGGAAAACAGATAAATACTCTCTGCAGTTAATGTATACCAATGGCTTCCAACTGAGGGAGTTCCCTACCTCAGCCTTCTTACTAAACAGCTGAAGGTGAGTGTATGAGTCCCAGTGTGGCATGCAATTTAGAGCACTGCATCTCTCAGACCATGTATGGGGGTCTATCTGCCTCACATTCCAGAAGGAGAAAAAGTTGGTGGAAGTTTCTCTACCAAGCTTGATCCATCCTCCACACTCAGCATTGATAGTGCACCTTGCAGGGATTCTGCCAAGAGTTTTATTGCATACGTCTTTCTCTCTGTGTGTCTTAATCTTAGAGGTTGGATTGGGATGGCTGGAAAATAGACTGTGGTTCCCTAGTAGATTCTGGTACCACACATAGCACCTCTTGGTTGCCAGGAATCTTGCAAAGAAGGCTGCATCGAAATATATGTTGGCCCTGCAAAAGAGGGGAGCCATACCTTTCATAGTTATGCAATACAGTAGAGGGATTTTCAGATTGTAGCATTTAGCATTTTTCACACATATCTCTTCATGCAAAGGACTCTTGTTGGAATACTTTCACCTACAAGACTATTAACAGTACTGAAGCTCTGTTCTTCTTTGCATGCCAGCGTCCTATCTCGGTCTAATCCTCCAAAAGACACATATTACGTAAATGCATGCTTTCTTGCTTTGTCAATAGGAATATAGGTACTGTATTGACCATGGATTTCTAGTAAAAATTAGATCTTGCAAGGTAAAGGTACATTACTCTTAATTTACAAGACAACCTGACAAGAGGGGCTTGTGTGTGTTTCTAAAGGTTGTACAATGCCTACAGCTTGGTCAATTATTGAATGAAATTTATTATATTTCCTCCAAAAAAATCTACTTTGTGTTTTTTTGTTTGTTTTTTCACCACAACACTATGAGAGACAGTTGAGGGATCATGATTGTTGCCAGGTCAGCTGCTGACTTCAAGGGAGAGGGCGGATTTGACCTTTAATCTGTTTATTTGTCACATTTATACCCTGCCTTTCAGCCACTGAGTGCAAATGGCCCACATGGTTCTCCAGCCATCTTATTGGTCAAGTCGAGAGACAGCAGTGACTTTCACAGCACAAGGGAGTGGGGGGGAGGATCTTCCAAGTCCCAGCCCAACACTAACCACTCAAGTTCACCACTTCACCATGCTAATCTTGGCGGGGAGGTGGCAGAAGCGGAAAGGGTCCTGCTTCTCTTCTGAGAAAGCCAAAAGGAGGTCATGATTTGGTTGAAACTGAGGCAGGGGAAATCTGTGAAGGTCATCAAAGTTCTCCAAACCTCACCACCCCCATCATTAAAGAACTGCAAACACTTAATTATTCTGCAGCCTAGATTTATTGTAGTGCTAGATATCCAGTGAATCAATGGATTTACTCTTTCTCAATAGTGGATATGATCAGGTTGCTAGGCATTTCAGAAGTAGAAAATAACACTATACACATTTTAATCAATCATTTAAAAGTGCATTCGCGAAGGCTTTCACGGCCGGGATCTAATGGTTGTTGTGGGTTTTTCAGGCTCTTTGGCCGTCTTGTGAAGGTTGTTCTTCCTAACGTTTCGCTAGTCTCTGTGGCCGGCATCTTCAGAGGACAACACTGTACAGAGTGCTGTCCTCTGAAGATGCCGGCCATAGAGACTGGTGAAACGCTAGGAAGAACAACCTTCAGAACATGGCCAAGGAGCCCAAAAAACCCACAACAACCATTTAAAAGTGCATTTGTGATTTGTTGGAATGTTAAAAACCAGACTTTATTTTATTGGGATACCTCAGGGCTCTTTGGGCATCTTACGAATATTGTTGCCACCACATCATTTCCAGCTTACGATGATCCTAAGAGGCTTTCCAAGGTATGAGAGAGTGGTTTACAATTGCCATAATGCCTTGGGTTTCCATGGCCCAGCAGGGATTTTAGCCCAGTACTCCCAACACCTAATCCAACTGCACCCCATTGGCTCATGAATATTGTTAAATAAGATGAAATAAATAGAATATTCCAGCTATCTGGGTCGTTGTTGCTGTTTTACAGCGTGCATGTTCTGACCACAACCCAGTTTTAAACCTGATTTCTGAACACAAAAGAAAATGAGATTTAGAGAAATTCATTGGTTTTTACTGAAAAAGAAAAAAAACATCCACTGTATACAAATGCATCTTATCTGCTGGAAAGAAATCCAAAACAAAGCTTTGGGCTAACCATTAGACCTGACAGCCTAGGAGCAAAGTCTATAAGCAATCCCACTCCGGCATGGCGATCCAGCTCGCGTTTTGCTTCTCGCTGGAGGGCTCGGTCCAGCTCGAGAGCACAGCTCCGCCGAGCCTCCCTCCCAGAGGGTCTGGCCGGGGAAGTTGCTAACCTTCCGGGGAGAGCACGTTTTATTCCCCCATTGCTCGGGGGGGCGGGGAGGGGGGGTCTCCCCTATTTTACGAAGCTTAATGTTTTTTTAAATTATTGTTGGTGTGTTTTTTAAAAATCCTTCTCCTGCCTGGAAAGACAAGTTGGCAGGACAAGCCATGAAACTTTACTTGCTTTTCTGCAGTTGCGGATTGCAAAGCTATGCACGGATCGCCCTCGTCCTCCTCGGATCTTACTGACAACGCAGCGAGCCTGGTATGTATTAGCGGATCGATTCCGCCGAGCAGCTGCCTGGGGAGGATGGGAGTCGAAAGGGAAGCGATGGTGGAGCCCGTTCGGGAGCTCGAACCCCGGAGAGCTGCTGAGCGGGTGGGTTAAGAAGGCAGCCCCTTCCCAAAACTTCGATGTGTTTTTCGCTTAAGACGGACGTGGAAAGGAGGTGGAAGGCGAGGCAATTAGAAGTTGGTCAGAAAGTTCAGCGCGGCCGAAAAGTTTTCTGCGGGTGAATGGGAAGGTAAGGGGAAAAGAAAAACGGAGAGGTCGGAAGTTCCCTCAGTTCAGAAAAAGAAAGTAACTAAAATGTCCACGGGTATTTTGGCTTTAACAAGATAATAAATGGTGGCGGGGTCCGATCTGTGGCGATCCTAGTGCAGAATCGCCTTAAAACTCCTGCCTAGAAAAACCCGCCAGGCAAGCAAAGCTGCTCTAAATACAAAAGAGGGTGGGGGCGATTTAAAGGACCCTGGTCGTCCGCCGAGCCTTTCCCCACCTCATGCTTTCCTTTTTTCAGGAAAGGCAAGGCAAACAGTATCTTCCAGAAGTTACTTTGCGGGGGGAAGGGGAATGCCTCTAGCGTCGCTTCTGTGTTTATTTGTTTGTTTTTTAAAAGCCGAATGGGTTAAAACTGTGATGTGTCTGTGGGTTCTTACAGTGGTGCATCTTGGCGGATCTCACAGCTGATTAATCATTGCATTGTCGTAAATGAAAAATCGTATTTAACTCCTTGTTTGGTTCCCCACCAGCCTGTAGGATGGGGAGCTCTGGAGTCGGAAGAAACCCCAGGAAACCATCTGCTTGAAACCAGAGCAGAGGCGGTGGCTTGACTCCCCCCCCATCCCCCTTCTGGTGCTGATAAACTTGCTTCTGGAATGGCGTTTCTCTGTATGTTGTTATTGCCCAACACGTAGGCTTCTCCCTTTAAGAGCCAGTAGAGAGGCTGCAGGCAACTTGGCTTGCCCGCATCCCATCTTCCAGAGCACCCTTGGGTCGCAGGGCAGCTCACCATGGTGTGTGTGTGTGTGTGGGGGGGTTCCTTCGGTCTCTTCTGAATCCGTCACTGGAGTATGATAAGGTGGCCAAAAAGAAGAAGAAAGCCACCGGCCAATCTTCCCACATTATAAATAAGCTTGAGTCTTGAGAGAGCAATGCTCAGTTCTGCTTCTCCAAAAGGGGTCTCTGCAGGGAAGCAAATGTGTGAATGCATGATTAGAACTTTTGTTGTTTAAATTGGAAAGGACAGTGGCCACCTTTTTATCATGCATTGGCTCCTCCATAAGGGGACTGCTGTTGCATTTATCCTTGAAGAAAAAATGTGGGGTAGGAAGGTTAGAGCGTTTTACTGGAGGCAGATCGGCGCATCCTTTCCGTGTATAGAGGGACCAAGTTTGCAGTCCTGCATGCGCACATGTCGGTTTGCATCGTTCATGTGTCAGGAATTGTGCTTTTGTAGCCATGGGAGGTGGGTGAGGTGATGGGGTGGGTGGGACAGCACATGCTAAAATGCCGGTACACGGTCTGGATGGTTCAATACATTCATGTACTGCTGACTGGAGAAGCCGCTGCAGTTTGGATGTGTGCTTAATCATCCGATGTAAATTGTGACAGGAGATGCATGTCTTCCTTCCCGCAATGTACAGGGGGACTGTGATTGGCCCTGGTTCTGTCTTGCGCACCGCGCCGCCTGCTTTTCTCTGCTTCCCACATGCCACTGGAATTCCTGTCACACTATATTGCTTCCTAAAGTATAAAGCAGCTTTTAAATGGTGTGGTCTCGTGCATCAAATAACTTGTTGTTCAGCAATTCCATAAATATTCAAAGTCATTCTTTCCTTTGGCTGATAGAGCTGGTGCTTTTGAAGGTTCCCCCCTTCGATTGCATTTTTGAAGAGAGCGAACATCCTGGGTTGTCCTTTCAGGCATGTTTACCAGCCCATCTGCTGTAGACTGACCCATGAAGTGAAGAGCAAACTGGTTAGTGTGACTGTGATAACGGGCGTCATTTGCCAAAGCACCTCACATTTCTAGAAATATTGAAACGTTAAGTGGAAAAATGGTAAAACACAACAATCGTCTCGTTTTAAAAAAACCGTCTACACAGAATCTAATGTGTGGAGCCTGATTTTCTTTCTATGCTTGAAAGTGGATGGAGTATGTTTTTGGAAGTCCGTCCTCAATTTGTGTGTCGCAGCATTTTGAATATAGTAATGCTCTTGCTGAGGGCAACAGGGCAGTTGAAGAACTGCTCAATGCACACTCTGTGTGTGTGTATGCGCATGGGATGATGATACAGAATCTTAAAGCAGCATTTAGTTGATTTTCTGGAAGGTTTTGTATTCTAATTAAAGAGTGGCTGCATTGGTCACATGCCCAGAACATGGCAAAGAAGTGTGTCTCTGAGATTATACTCAAGATCAGCGCTAGTTTGAACCACAGTGTAATACCCACATCTTGCCTGCCTTGTCGGCACTGAGGACATCTGGGGGAATCTGTGGACATACTGTCTTATTTGAATAGGGTTAGGTTGCATCTTAAATTGTCTTACATAATAGAAATCATAGGGAGAGAAAGCCTCCCCCCCCCGAAAAAAATGATAATATTTGGACAAAAATTTGTGTAGTCTGCCTTATCTTGTTTTGTTTTTTCTTCCCTTAAAAAGCTGGGTTCACAGTGGCACACCCTGTGTATTTAGATAAGCCTTGCTGATCTTAATGAGTGGAAAAGACATGGGGGAAAGAGAGTTTAGCAGCAAATGATAATGGCATGCGTGCTTTAAAAATTTTTTAATGACTTCTTTTTAAGATGGAGGGCCAAAACTAAACTGTACTCATATAGAGGTAAGCCGATTCAACCCTAAACAATCCTGATTATAGGTAATCAGAATATTTATTTATTCATTTTATTTACAATATTTTTTTAGTTGCGCCATTACCAGTGGTCTCTGAACGGCGTACAATATTAAAACGTTTAAAACATTAAAACCATTAAAAATAGACAATATTATAATAACATATTAAAAACAATCATTAAAACATTAATATTAATAAATCCTGTTGCTCTTATGGCCAGCTGAAGAATACTATTTAATGAAAATGCTGGCTAAACAGAAAGGCCTTTGCCTGGCACTGAAAAGCCAAAAGTGTCGGAGCCAGGCGGATCTCTATAGGGAGGGTGTTCCAAAGTTGGGGGGGCAACAGCCGAGAAGGCCCTATTTTGGCATGCCATCCCCCTCACCTCTTTCAGGGATGGCACCTTCAGAAGGGCCTCGTGGCCTGATCTTAGAGGACGGGCAGGCTCATATGGAAGATGACGGTCCAGGTCCTAAGCTGTTTAGGACGGGCTTTATATATCAAAGTAAGCATCTTGAATTAGGCCCGAGCAGCAACCGGCAGCCAGTGTAAATTTTTCAGAACCAGCATGATATGAGTCAGTGCGGTGGCTCCACTTACCAGCTGCGCAGCCCGCTTCGGTTCCTAACACCTGGATATCTGAAAAGCCAACGAACCTTTCAAGTGGAGCTAAGGAACTTGTAAACCTTCTAGTTGAACTACAACTCCATGTTCCTTCACCATTGCCCCGGCAGACTGATGATGGGATTTGGAATTCAGCCAGGGCAGGAAGGCAACAGATTCTCTAGCCCTGTGTAAAAATACACAAAGTGTGCTTTGCTGCAAGTCTCATACATCACTTACATTAGAGGAGTATGGCATCTTTTGCCATAGAGCATATCATTCCATTCTTGTCTTATTCTCCCTTCCCTATTTCTGACATGTTTTCACTAAGATCAATGTTTTACATAGTACCAGCTTTGGAGAAGAGGGGATAGGAAGATATTAATATTTGTGACTGACTGTGTCTCTCTAGTGTTGCTTTTTTTTGAGCAGATATGTATAGGTGGCAAAATGTTTCCCAGTGCCCTTACTGGTGATAATTATGGGGACAAACAACATGTTCTGAATATATTGTAGGCCTGCATTTACTTAGAGCTCTAACTGGTGGAGGAAAAAAAAGATACTTTTTTTAAAAGGGTGGGCAATACAGACATCAGTAGTAGACCCACCTGGGCCTGGCAGTGACAGTCTAGGTATAACAACACAGTGGCCAGTGGTGTCAGCCTGGTTCAAATCTCACTTCATCTACTAAGTACCCAACTCCCGTTCCCTGCCTGGAAAAGAATGCCTACTTGTGAGTAAACATTTATTAGATACCCAGTGTGGTGCAGTGGATAGAGTAGTGGACTAGGATTCAGGAGACCTGGGTTTGAATCTCAGCTTGGCCATAGAAACATATGGGGAGTTGGAACTGGTAAAACCACAAACCACCCCTTAAGTATTTCACTTACCATGAAAGCCCTCTGCCAAAGGGAGAGATGCACTGTAAATTGAGGGCAAATGAGACACAGAAGCATGCATTGATTTGCAATGTTAGCAATTGAACCTCTGAAAGTCCAGTTCCAGTTTAGTTTTTTTTTTGAAATGGCATTTTTCCATGTAAGTTGATTCACAAGTTATGTGGTCCCATTTAGAAGAATTAGTCATATCTTTATGTGCACGTATGTTGAGGAGAGAAAAGACACAGAAGCATGCATTGATTTGCAATGTCAGCAAATGAACCTCTGAAATTCCAGTTCCAGTTTAGTTTTTTTTGAAATGGCATTTTTCCATGGAAGTTGATTCACAAGTTGTGGTCCCATTTAGAAGAATCAGTCATATCTTTATGTGCATGTATGTTGAGGAGAGAAATGGAACAGATCATGGGGCAATTTCCCCATCTTATGTGCAAAGGCACAGTCTGCAGTTCTTCTATTAACATCAATTTGTTTTTCATTTTCCTAGCTAAATTACATTAAGGCAACAGATAGACAATTTCCCCTTAAGCCTTTCTAATACCCACAGAAAGGTCAGTAGGCTTTCACTTACGTTTCTCTTCTGTTTCTTTTCTGGTCCTCAAAATTTAACTATTTCTAACATTTCCCTCCC